AACAAAAAAAAAAAAAAAAAAAAAAAAAAAAAAAAAAAAAAAAAAAAAAAAAAAACAAGAACTAAGGATAAGAACCAAAAATAAGATTAAGGACAAAAACAAAGACTAAAAACTAAAAATAAGATTAAGGACAAACACAAAGACTAAAAACTAAGGATAAGGACTAGGACATTGATCCAGATAAGTTCTCATAACTAAGGACCTAGAATTTTGGAACTAAGACCTTTAGACAACCACCAATATTAAGAACTCCGGACTCAAGAACGGAACCTAAGGGTCTAAGCTCTCAAATCAAGAACAAGAATATGACAAGAAAGAGTATGGTACCCTAGCACACCTTAAAGACACGATTAAGATCCTACAAACATACTACTTAATGAGTATTTGTACTCATTCAAGTTTTCTATTATATTTTATTCTATGCTTGTCTAGGAAATGAAGTAATTGGGAGCTATCTCTATCAAGTATGTTGTAGAGAAAATGTCTGAAAATTCTAGAAAAAAGATAAAAGAAACTTACCCACATCTCAGTAAGCTTCTCCAAGCTAATTTAGCCTCCACCAGCTTTTAACATATTCATAGAAGTTATTGTACCAGTTTTCTTTCGAGAGAGGATAACAATTTTAATGTGATTTTAAGGATGCTCATCCTATCTCGTTCGAGAAATTTAGATCCCGATAAGTCTTATACAATGTTAAGAATCATGACTCTCTACAATGATATGATATTGTCCATTTTGAGCATAAGCTCATACCAATGGAGATGTCTTCTTCACTTTTGACTACACCTCCGAGGCTAGCAAGTCGATCCTTCATGAGTTGTTTGTAACTATAACAAGGTCAAAAGTTCATTTAGCCATGTAATTATATACTTCACCTTAAATATCACTAATTCTCTAATAAATAATTTGTTTATGATTCAATCCTAAACTAAGTTCCACTCTGACCGATAAGAGAGTGAGTCCCATTGTTCAAGTCTCAAAATCAGCACTTAAGAGAATTACTCATCTATATACTTTGTATCGTTGGGAGCAAATGTCATCTCTAGAAACTATGTTCTCAACTCCCTATTTGGTCAAGTCTCAAAATCATCCTCACCCATGCAAATTAAAGGACAAGTCCTCACAAGCAAAAGTTCATGACTCACTCATGATTAAGATCGAGTCTCATATGATCATCCAATGTTATAATACTCATTGTATATGATACTCTCACTCATATGTCTCCATATGAGCGATTTGGATCAAATCATGCTTAATAATTACAAAGTGAGCCGAATCAATGTGTTACCAAGATAAGGCATCAAACCTTATCTATTTACGGTAAACTATTTAGATTATTACTTGAACATGATCTTCCTATAAATCAATCACCTACGGTTCAACCTTAGATTAATATCGAGGATAATGTTAAATCCCAAATAAAAAAATTTAAATGATTAATAAAAACTAGTTAATGACATAAATTTTAATATAGGTTAAACAAGAATAAGTTGTGATTGGACACAGATGATCAGAATGAATTGTTTAGAACTTTAATTAGGCATAACTATGCTATGTTGAACCATGACAAACCGAACAACCTGAGAGAGACTTAGATTAGACATTATTATGTTGTCTCTTGAACCTTATGATCGATTTAAGTTAAAGAAGTCTTATTTGACTGTCTAAAAGCATGTTAGTGGATGATATTTACATGTATGCTCACTGATGAAATTTACTAGGTACGATGTAAATCTAGGCATATGACAAGCATATCAGACCGTTTAACTATGCATATTAACCCCTAATTGTGAACTCATCTCGATGGGGGAGCTTTACCTACTGTAAGTTCATTCTCTGGTACCTTACTTGACTCGATATATCTGGCTGGATTTTTAACAAATGAGCTGAAACTTAGTTTCAAACCATCTATGGTGTGTAGGACTGCAAAGTAGGTGAAGAAATCGTGAGCAAATAGCCACTAGGTCAATGGAAAAAGCTTAACTTTTATAAGGTAAAAGCAGACACGCTCTTGGGTCGTCACCATCTCAAGGTAGATAATGATGGCGGGGCGGTTCCAGAACCGACTACGTCATCCCCTTTGAGTTTTTAGACCTTTACTCACTGTTTGGACTAGCTCTCACACTATGTTCCAGAAAATATGCTCAATTTGGGGCGTACCCAGGAATTAAAGAAAAATCAATTTTAGGAAGGTCATGAAAAGTGATCTCGAACACGACTGAATAGGTAAATAACTACATGTAACGAACTTTGTTAATTGTTTGGATCGGTTCACTTGGTTTTCGATTGGTTCTCATAAAAGATGTTTGTTGTTCAAGAAATTAGACACAATTTGCCACCGATTCAAGAAATTTGGAGAAAATCTAACTTCAAGAAGAGAGTTCGAACACACCCAAATATGTAAGTAGTTATATGGAGCAAGTTTCAAGTGTAGAGGTCGATTAGGACCATGGGCATATAATTAGAAATCATATTTATGAATCTAATTGACCAAGTTTCATGATAGCTAAACCTAGAAAATGTAATAATTTCTAATTTAGCACGTTATCTCGTTTTACAGCTTTTGTAGTGCATATGTGAACCATAATAGAGTTAATATGTTTATAAGCTCTCGAGCAAACCTTAGTGAGTAGGTTGAGAGTAGTATTCACATTTTTAATGTATAATTTTGGGTTTGGGAACTCGTCTATGCCCAATATTATTATTAAATGATGTCATGTGTTCTAGAATGTATGTTATGACTATTGTTGTTTTAGTTATATGGGTCCTAGAATCTATATGTGGACCCTATAGAACTTTGTGTTGACCAAGAATCTCATAGGGACGTTTAGATTATAACCTTTATTCGTGAACTAGTTAAGAAGGGTTAGGATATATTTGATACATAGAGTTCAATTGTCACTCACAAGGTTTCAGGAGTCATAGAGGTTATACTACTAAGGAAATCCTGGTTGTGTCTAGTGGGGGAGTCATAGCCTTATACGGTTCTAACGTGAGAGGGAGTGTGCGAATCGAAAGTAGTCATAGCTTGAAAAGGCAATATGACAGGTAGTTTACTTGTCAGTTCTAGCCTGATGATAAGAATGATAAGTAACATGTAGTTTACTAATCTTAGAGAAAGACAGTTGTTGTAATAACCAAGTCGATCGCTATTAAATATTGTCCTCTTTGGGCTTTCCTTTTCGAAGTTTCCCTCAAAGCTTTTAAAACACGTGTTTTAGGGAGAGGTTTCCACACCCTTATAAATAATGTTTTGTTCCACTCTCCAACTGATGTGGGATCTCACCATCCACCCCCTTAGCAGCACTCTCCAACCGATGTAGGATCTCACAATCTTCTCATTTCAATTCACATTTTGCTTAAATAGTCTAAATTCATAACCTTTTTGTTTGATATTTTCTTTCCTAATTATAACTCGAATATAACTTATGGATTTGCCTCAATTCCATAAAAAAAATAACGTTAGATATTCTATTATATTTTATATTCACCTTTAGTCAAAATCATAACAATCTTTTTTAATCATTTTTTTATTTTATTTTGTTCTTATTTCATAATTATCTTATCCTGATTGTCTTAAATAGCTTACTAAGATAAGAATTGTTTTATCCATACCTTGATCATAATTTAGTAACTTTTCCAAATAGTCTACGTGTAATAAACACGAGTGATCCTGAGGTAAAATCAGTGAGTTGAGTGTGTGAGGTCCTAAACTTATTTAACTACTTTTGTACAATCATGAACCCAGATGTAGAAAAAGGAAGGAGATTAATGAGCTAGTTAAAGAAGAAGTCTAGGAGAATGAGGAGGAATTGAAAGATAGGAGTCATTTGACACTTATTACAAGAAAACTTCTTAAAACTCAAGTTATGAAGAATGATGTTGATAATTAAAGAGACAACTTATTTCACACACGATGTTTAGTCAAGGAGACTCCTTGTAATTTTGTTATTGATAGTGGAAGTTTCACCAATGTAGTAAGTACCATGTTGATCAAAAGGTTGCAAATTTCAACCCAAAATCATCCTCAATCTTATAAGCTTCCAGTGGAACAATGAAGCTAGTTTCTCAAGCATTAATATCTTTTACTTTGGGAAAATATAAAGATAAAGTTTTTTGTGATGTGCTACCAATGCTTGTTGGAGACATGTTACTTAACCGACCTTACCAATTTGACAGGAGGTCATGTATGATGTTTATTTGACCATATATGCATGGTATGAAACTATTATTCAGCCATATATGCATCGTATGAAACTATTATTCAGCCATATATGCATCGTATGAAACTATTATTCAACCATATAAAACCCTACTTAAAAAATAATAATAAAAAAAAAAATCTATGTACAACTTAAT